TTTTTTGTTAATTAAACTATATTAAAGCTGTTTATACAGTTAATTAAAAGCTAAAAGCTTCAGGCAAGGCAGCAATATCAGAGTTGGAAACACTGCAGAAACAGTACGAGGAGAAACGAGTGAAGATCCAAGACCTCCATAAACAAATCGAAATCGCAAAGCTTCGATTGGAGGAGAAGAAGAAGAAGAAGGAGGAAATCTCAGATGAGAAAAAAGAAGCTTTCAATGAACTGTGCGAGAAATACAACAGTCTGAGAGAGGAATATATTGCACTGTCAAGGAGGCCATAAATTTTTCTTCACTGTATCGTTCTCTCTTTAAATACATTAGTTGGCAATGATTTTGCTATATCTATATATCATATTACTTCAATTTTCAACCATTTTTTAATTATTCTATAAAAGTTGTCAAATCTATTAATCGATTAATTTAAACCTTACACTACAAAAGTTCAATAAGGGGGCGAAGACAATCCTTCCGGTATAATTTGTTTCATTTGTAAACGCTAAGATTTAATTATGTCATTTTATTTAATGAATCTAATATTTTATTCTACTAGACCAATAATAGTTATTAACACAAACCATCAAGGATTGACCATAGGGAGGGCGGGGAGGGGTCGTCATCCCTTGAAAATTTTAAAGTAACATATATTTAATATATTTTCTTTGTATATTTAATTGATATTGTATTTTCTCCCTTATAATTTTATAAAATCCCTCATTTCTATATTTTTTAAAATTCGCCCCTAAGGTAAGATCCTACTTTCGTCCCTACAAATCATATATAATCTATATGAAAATTCGAAGGTTTCAATTAGATTTAAATAAATAAACGACTCATCATTATTATAGCTATTAGATTTAAATAAATAAATGACTTACTTAGTAATTAAAATTTATAATTGATAACTCCATAAAAAGACTATATTTTGTGCATTTCTACTTAAGTTATTGAGTGTCTAAAAGTCATTGTCATAACATTTAGTTGCATTTTGGTCATATTATTACATGTGGTTGAAAATTTTTTGATGCAGTGTAATTTTATTGCTAAAATTGATGCTATTGAAGGGAAAACTTTTGTGGTTGTGGTGTTGTGCAGGTGAAGAAAGTAAAACAAAAGAAAAGATTTGTTGTGGCATTTTGGATAAGAAGATCTAAAGGACTATTGAGCTGATCGAGAAAAAATATTGCTGCAACATGTTTGGACAAAAATTCTAAGAGCAGAAAAGGACAAAATAGTAAACATATCAAGCTGTCAGGCTGTCCAAGCCTCATGTGATTGCACTGTAATGATTATATTTTTAGGACCACCTATCAACCTACCTCATATTCATGTGAAGGGAATGAATCCTAGGTACAAAGAGAATTTTTGGGCCCAAAACACTAGAAAATTCCCTATTATAAATACCTAAGTATACCCTACATTTTAGAGGACTTTGGGAGTGACTTAAGCAAGGGATGTGACAGCTCACAAACTTCCATTTTCTTCTTTTTTCCCTCTTTTTTCGTGGTGTCTTCCATAGCCGAGCTTCGAAGGGTAGCAGCTAAAACCTTGAGAGATGCTAGCTCGCTAAGGCGGTTCACGACGGTGGCTCTAAGGGTCACGACAACAACTCATTTAGGAGTTTCTCTTCTCCTTGTGCTTTCATTTCTTTATTTTATATGAATTTGTTCTTAACATTGATGATGAATGAACTTAGTCCCGTCATGAACTAATTTATTTGACGTTGGGTTTACTTTGAATGATTTTTTATTTTGTGTTAATGAATGGTTGGAGTATTTTTTATGTTTAAATGTTGTTTTTCTCTTTGTTTATATTTTAAATGCTTAGTCTTGTAAGATATTTCGAGAGATAACCATTTTCTAAGTATAAATGCCTAATATCGAGAGAGTTAGCCATTTTCACGGGCTCATGCATGCATCAAGGTAGCTGTGCTGCACGGATGACAGTGGTAGTGCAGGTTTGCTGAAGGCATGTGAATTGCGTTGAAGAAGCATGGTAATACTCGAGTCTTCACCGTTTATTATAGCAAATGACCTATCCTGGGAAATAATTCCTAGGGTGCATTATTTGGGGAATTAAAAAACTGGGAAGCATTATCCAAGAATTTTTGCGAATAAAAATGGTTTACATTTTTTAATAAAATAATATCACTCTCAAGTTTCAAGACATAAAATATAAAATTGAATATTTAAACCCGAAATAGTGATAATTAGTGAAGATAATATAACTTTAGCATGATGAGCACTCTACATGAGTGGAACCACATTAGACTTCACCTGTAATCATTTACACTGAACAATTGCCCCCTTTGTTTGTGACTATATATTTTGTTTATGTTTAAGGTCTATTGGGCTGATTTATTTAGTAATGGTCTTTAATCTTAATGGGCAATATTCATGGGCTGATAACCACTATATATATTTTTATTTTTTTTATAAAATTTAAATATAATAATTTGGTTGTTTTATTTTCAACAAAAATAAAAGAGATAATTTATTTCAAAACTACAAATTTTAAAAATAAAATATGATTTAACATTTGTAAATATGAAATGACTCTATTTTAATTTCGAATTATATATATATATATATATTTACTTTAATGCTTAAATTATTATTATTACTAAAGTTCGTTATACGTTTAAGGTATCACAAATTCAATTTTTCTGTTAATATTGTTACAAAATTAGATTAAATGTGATAGAATAGTAATGGGTAAACTACATATCTAGCACCTAAACTATCAGTTTTGTTTTAGATCCTAAACTTTCATTGTTTTAAAATCATACTTAACATTTACTTTTTGTTTTGTTTTGATCCCTCGCCGTTAAAAACTTAACCAAACTATCGTACATGACACCTTTTTATGGGTGAATTGCATCATTCATCACTAAAATATATTTTCACTCCTATATTTATCATTAAATTTTATTTTTTTAAATTTAATTACTTAACTTTTAAATTAATCCTAATTAAATTACTCTAACTTTTAAATTTATTTTCTAATTTAAATTATATATGATAAAATTTCATATCACAAAAATTATTAATAAATAAATTAGAGTGATTAAAAAAAGAGCAATTTGAAAGTTAAATAGTCAAATTGAATTTTTTTAAATTTTACTGACCAAATAAGAGAAAGAAGATAATTGAGTAATGAATAATGTAATTTACCATGTAGTTTACCCAATACTAATTGTGGTATTATTTTTTGTTGTTGATAAATTGAGGTATTAGAACGAGAGAGAAATTGAATTTGATAAACAGATAAAAAAATAGAATTAATTAATGAAAATGTGTAAATGTTAAAAATTTAATTTAAAATTATTCAAAAATAAATTAATTTCATTTTGCACATAAATTTGAAAAATCTCCCATCGTTTTCACTTTTACGCTTCAGCTTCGCTCTTCAGCAAGTCAAGTGCAGTGGCCGACCAAGAGAGAGCTTAGTTTCCTGGATTTTTTGAAATTCCATTTTCCCGCATTTCCCAGGCTACCAAACAGGGGGTTAAAGTTGAACAATTCTTTCTCTTCTTCTAAGTCTTAATTAAATTTTTCATAACATCATCATCGCCTTTTGTTTTCTCAGACTACTCGTTAATTTCTGCTTGCTTGCATAGAAAACTCAACAAAGAGGAAGAGATTCTTATCTTTTCTGCTTTACGACGCTTAATTTTGTTTCCGCCTTTTACCGATTCGGTTCTTGTATATCGATTTTGAACACGAAAGCAAGGGTTTCTTTAGGCACTTGAGTTCGGATTCCACAATCACAGATTTTTTAGTTAATCCAATTGTTTTGCAGATGGAGTCTTTATATGCAAAACTGTACGATAAATATGACAAACTCAAGGTATCGCAACTCCTCTTTCCCCTAAAATTTTATTTTTGATGATAATTTTAGATTTCCACTTCCCCACACTTCCTTTGTAGATCTATCATGCAATTTATTTCTTTATAAGTTTTGGTTGCCAACAAAACTGATGAAAAGAGCAAAATGTTTAGTTTCTTTTTCCCGTCAAAGTGGAATAAAATTCATCTGCAAGGTGTATCCGATTTCTTGTTAGTTTGATTAAAATGAATTTTCGTTTTTCCCCCTTTTTCATCCGTTGAGAAGCAAATGTAGCTTTATGTCTACCCTTATTATGATTTATTTCCATTCCTTTTTCAGAAGAGAAAACTGTCTGAAATGGATGACATACATAGAGATCAGAAGAGAAATTCTTGAATTATGTGCGTGGTCAGTATATCATCACTCTAGAATTACTGATTTTTTTATCTGTCTTCATATTTATGTGAATCTCAAAATCATCTCTTTGTTTTTGTTTTCTCTTTTGTTTTTATTTTGCATATATCATAGAAATATAACAAAATATAACTATCACTTGATTTTGCATAAAAGACACGTTATTATTTTGGACCTTCCTTATGAAATGTAAGGTAAAATAATGTGTTTTATAATTCAAAATCATTTTATCTTGAGGTTGAATGCTTAATGGTTGGGCTGATCTCATGACTGATAGTTTGTCATTATGAAAAGCTTTAAAATGGAAGCAGGATGCTTTTGCGTTTTGTGGAATATGGTTGTGGCTATAGCATTTTGAAATTTGTTTTGATGGTAATGGTAGAAACTAGATGCTATAGATTTCTACGTAACCTTGCTCTGATACTTGAACCAATATTTAAGGCCTAAGCTCTAGATGTGAAGAATATGTGACATTCTAGTAGTTGTGTGTTAACGCAATAAATTTATTGTTATAACCATGAATGTGAGGCTGTAGAACGAACCAAACTTTGTTAATGGCTTGCATTTGATTCTATAAATTCTTGTTGAACTTCTACTAGTTAAGTGAACCAAACATTAACGTTCTATCTTGCACTTGACAATTTTTCTAGTTGCTATATTTGCTAGTTAAACAAACTTGAACAATCATTTAGGACCCCTCTAAAATGCTTAGTTGTTTGCTTTCTCTTGTTACAGCTGCAGAGGAGTTGATACACTTGAAGAGTGAAAATGACAAATTAAATGCTGAAGTTAATGAGTTGAGAAGTGAAGTGGCCTCTGTAATGTAAGTATTTTTAATTCAATTTGGCCTTTACACGTTGCCAGAGTCTACTTTCTTGAACTTTTGCACAAATGTAATAATGCAGGTCCAGCAAGGACAAGCAATGTGCAGACTACCAAAAGCTTTTGATTGAAGAGAGCCAGAAGTGTAAGTAGTAATCAGTTGTTGATTGCATCTCTTTCTTTCAATGTAGAATATATCGCTTTGTCTTTGTTGAATATGCTATTGCAAGGAAACTAGACACAAACTGATGCTGGTGTTAGGTCTGCTGGCTAAGAACAAGAAAATGACAATATTTGGTATCAGTTTACATGACTAAAGAACTCAGCATTATGCTTTTGGTTAAAGAACTGGATTTCTATGCTCAAGTTTTTGTCTGAGTAAAAATGAATTTAGGTTTTACATGTCATTGCCTTTGAAGTTGGTAGTTAGTTCTTGTATTGTTGAGGCTTGCACCTGTCCAAAATGCATGGAACAAAAACTGTATGCTTAATTCTTAGATGGACTGGAAGAAGGTAACTGCGCATGTTGATTTGTTTTCAGTATTGCTATATATTTCTTAACTCAGCATGGTTAATAATAGATCTCTCGCTTTTTCCCCCTCTTGCTATAACTTTAAAAGGTTAAATCATAATTTTGACATTATGATGGTTATCATGGTGGTGATCAGATTGCATATTCACAATTTTCTACTCTCCACATCTTCCATTTTGACATTTATACAAAGTCAATTATTGTTTGAACACCTCAATCACTAACTAGACATATATGAAGTCGAAAGTGGATTATCTTAATTTGGACGTGGTGTCTTTGAAAACATAATAAGATAAATGTGTAGACTTGCCTTTGTTGGATGTTTAACTTTCTAGTGTCAAGCATGTGTATAGCCCTTTTTTAACGGAATGCTAAAATTTATGACAGATAAAGCACTTTCTGAAGAAGTTACGAGGCTGCAAATCATCAAGAGGGACATTTTAAGGGTGACAATAGAGATAATATACCAACTGTCTCTCCTAGAAGTGAACAAGTTGTGGCGGAAAGGGTTTCTGCTAACAACACTAGAATGATGACAAGAAAGCGTAGCAGGAAATCAGCTGCTGAGACCAAGATAGCATCGTTACTCCTGATTCAGCTAATGGTAAAGTTACCACATCATGTGCTTTGACAGAAGACCTTCCTGAGAAAGCTTTGTCCTATGAGGCTCTTTCACATGTTCGCTGGTAATTCTCAATTAATCATCTGTTTACTCACAGATGTGAGTTTCTACATCTTTACTAACTATTTGGATGATTATGCAGCCAGAATGCTGTAAAGGCAGTATAAGTGAAAATGCCACTGATCGTGGAACTTGTCTGCTTCAAGCTCTTATCGAGTGCTTAGTGGTATGAAATATCCACCGTTAACCAAACTGAAGGACTATGCATTTCAGCTCTGCATCAATCAAGCGGTAATTCTTAACTTGAGAATCATAGTAATCTCATTAAATTCAGTATTTCCATCTTTCATTTCTAGTTCCAGGTATTTCCCCCTTAAAGTTGGTATGTTGTTGATTTGTTAAGTGGTAACATCTGTAATGTGATTTAAGATCAGAAAATTTTGAAGATTATTTCTGCGAACCGCATTGATATAAAGCAATTGCAGAAATAAAGTCTGTTTCACTTAAAATGGTTGGATTTATAGAATATGAGGTCCAACCTTCAACCCTTTTATCTGAAGTTTTTTTTTAATGTTTTCTGTGAAGTATCAATTTTTGACATTTGAGTTCGACATCTTTGGACATGGATAGGGACTATAGTCGTATAAAAAGCATGAGAAAGAAATTAAGCATACATGAATATAGATTTTAATAAATACATCCACAAGTACTTGGTGTTTCTGATAGTCACACCTATTGAAGAACTAGCTGTTGCGTACAAGAAATGACTTTCATTATTTGACGCTGGATAAATGAACAGGTTACTCATTCAGCCTAACTGGATAAACAAAAGAGGCGGGGAGGAAGCTGAGTTGGTGTACCGGGTATCGTCGTTAGGGACATTTGAGAGGGTGGCGCCAGAGTGGATGAGGGATGTCATTATGTTCAGCACAAATATGTGCCCCATTTTCTTCGAGAGATTAACTCGTGTAATCAAATTGCATTGCTAGCTGGCAAGCTTTTCTCTCCTTGGTCTTTGAACCAACGTGAAGAACATATGTATAACATTGGTGATAAAAACAGTTATCGTATTATTACCGACTAAACCTATTGACAAGTTTTTGCATGTCAGTAACTAAATTGATTATTCTAGGCATTTACCATTCAAAATTGCAGGATTGCTGATTACTAATTATTGTTTCTTAATTACTAAATTGATTATTTCCTTGTTTGGAACTTGAATTTTGAGATTTTAACTAAAAATTAAAATGATGTCGTTTTGGTCATTAACTAAGTAATGCGATTGATTTTTGTTTTTCTTGTTTCTGTGTATCTATTGTTTTTTGTTTTTTTACTAAATTAGAGTCACATCCTCACCACTTTAGAATCTCTTTTTACAAGTTAATTTTTGAACTTTGTGTTTTGTTCACTTCAGGCATCTGACTGTAACTTCTTTCAAATTATTTTTAGGGTTTAGGGTAAAGGTTGTTCTCCGTCTTTTATGATCTAATTATTAATTTATTATCAAATCAAGCAACCTCGGTGGTTCGAGCACAAAATGTCAGTTGTGAACGTTTAATGTTAAAATTGAGAGTTATCTTTGAGAGTTATCTTTAAACAATAGTGTTTTACTTATCACATATTAATCAAAATAAAAATAATTAATTTTTTATTTGGGCTCCATTTAGGCCTAAGTGCAATGAGACCGATATAATAATATTATACATTTAACTTAACTAATAATTACGGTTAAATACATTTGACCTTATAATCTAATGATTTTAATATTAATTAGATATATCAATATATAGTTTCAAATTATCAATGGAATGAACACTTGATCGAACAACTCATGTCATTGACGAAGAAGGCTTGATGCTAAAAGAAGCCAGTTTGCAGCAGAGTATAAGTTGCATAGAAATAATATAACACGGAATCATGTGTGGGTTTAAATCCGTATGATCACATACCTCATTACTCTTTTTCATTTAGACATGCAGAGATAGCTAAATAAGCACTGTACATTGCATTCCAAAGTTAAAAAACCTTTAACCATTTCATTCCAGGGACTGAAACTTCTAGTTTTTTTTACCATACTTTACTTCCTACACCTCCAAGCCGATACCGAAAACAGCCGTCGACCTTGCCAGCAAATTCCGACCCAACCGTTCTCCTCCTTTATTTTATACCCATCACAGTTATACCCCTGCAGCAATCTCCTCGCGTGCAACATGCCATAGTAACTCAGAGGGACGTTTCCTAAACCGGCCAAATCAAGCCTTTGTATCCACTTTTCGAGCTTTTCATGTCTCTCCTTCCTCTCCTCCCTCGCAAGCTATTATGTCTTTATTTCCTCTCCGAATAGCATCTTTTTCACCTTGAGTCTCTCCGGAGATGTTCTCGAGACCGTGGACTCCGAACAATCGAACAATGCTGCATAAGAGTAAAGAGATTCTAATAGTATCTCCATTAGAGTCGATCCATTATGATTAGAATCTTGTTCTGTTACCACCATCATTTCGGTGACAAACCCCACAATGCATTTTGGAAGCTATCTACCTTCACCGAACCGGTCGAAGATAGCGGTGCCGGTGATGATGAAGCCGAATCGGGACTAGGACTATATCCATTAATTGTGTCTTTTTCAAGCAACTCTCATAATGTGCCCTGGTTCATCTGGAGTGTTCTTTGCAAGTGAACTCCATTCGAATTCTTCGATCCTAATGGTGATTTCTTTCGATGGAGTTCATCATCGGAGGCCAAAAACAAATGCAGCTGGAGAACAGAACTGATTGCAAGAGCCTCCCCGGTTTTAACTCGCAATTTTTCGACGTCGAGATTCTCTAATTTGCTAACAACCGGATTGAACTGGAACGGGAGGTCCAATTTCTCAGCTTCTTCAGTCAATCTATGAGCCATTTGATCCAACTTGTTTCTGTTGATGAATGCCAGTAATCCTCAAATGAGGCGGCCCTTCAGGCCTAGCACTCAAGGCTTGAATAAGCGCAAGCGCAACCCACGGCGCAGGCTCGACCGCATTAAGATAGATATATGAACCATTTCGCCTTCCATCGCCTCGTTCACGGCTTGGTTTGTACGCACAAAGGCCACCTTCAAGAAGGGGAACAACTGAAAGAACAGCTTCCGGACAATGATTTCTTCGGAAACCAAAGCTATCCTCGTGGAATTGAGGGCCATATGAAGACCAGGCCAGGCTTTGAGGATTCGATCAGCAAGTGCCTGCATAAAATATGGGCCATTCGCTGCATAAAATCACCGTCCGGCGATGCGAGTCGGGATATTTGCTTGAGTGCAATGTTGGCATTTTCAAGGCTACCATTTGCAACATGATTAGCACACGTGAGCAACAAATGGATCAAATATAAACCCCTTTCTTCACATTTCAATATTCTAAGCTCAGACATTTCAATGTCTACTGGTGGCGGTAGTAGAGAGAATTTGCTCTCCCTTCTCTCTAGGTTTCTTCTTCGAGTTGGGTCTTTGGTTGGTCTCAAAGGTTTCTTCCATGGTTTCTCATGGTCCCCCAGTTGTCGAGCTCCATTTTTGGAGCTCAAAACGGTTAAGGTTTCTTAAAATCCGGTTGTTTAGCTGTCAAAATCTTAGTTCATTAGGATTTGATTGCTATTCTAAATTCTTGAGTCATTCTCGTGTTCGTCTTCAGCAAAAGAGTTGAAGGTAAAAGCTTTTTTTGTATCATTGTAGTTTATCAATCATGTTTATGTCTTGCAGGATCTTCTTAAGGGAAGTTGCCGATGGAATGATGAAGAGAGGGGATGATAGCTTAGAGAACTTTCAAGATTGGATGGATGGAAGGTGGTTCTCGAGGAAGGAGATGAAGTGAGGTATAGGGATTGGGAATGGTCTGGAAGTATGAAAGTTATGGGAAAACTAGCTACAGATAAAGTTTTAGGGAGGAGTTCTGCCGGAAATTTCAGTCAGTTCAGATAAAGAGTTTGAAGAAGATGACTGGAGCCAGGCTCCCAAAAATAGTTGGGGTGTTGTTGGAGTGACTAGAGGATGCCACATGATTTCTACAGTTACTGTTCGGAATTATAATTAGGTTTCGGGGTGGTTCGGTTATGTTCAACAAGAAGTTAAGGGAGAAAGTGTGGTTTGGTTTGTGATTGAACTAAGTCACTATAGAAGAAATATTCAATCAAGGAAAATCTAGAAATGGGTGATTAAAGTGTCAAGTCAGAACCATCAAGTCTATGAGATTAGATTGGGAATGGGGATTTCATTGGAAATTCTCATTATAGAAATTTCTAAGAAGATCTTTGTATGACATGAGGTCTAGGCGTGGGGGAAGGATACTCTATCACTTACCTCAATAGAAAGAATGTTCAGCGGGGAGTCGTCTGTCAACACGGGGGACTGGGATATTTAATGTTCTGCTTGGTGCGGATAGCGGGTGTAATTGCAGGGGGCTATTCACGTGTTATACTGCTCGATGCAGATAGCAGGTGGGACTGGCAGGGAGCACGCATGGGAGGAAGGCCAGAGACAGACCTGGTAGAGGAAGTGGAAAATTGCGGCTGCTACAGTGCAGCCAGCTACTACGAACACTGTTCGGACAGACATAGTGCTGTAATTATATGAGATAATGGTTGTTTGGGGAAATGGTGCATTTATATTTATTTAATAGTAGTATCATTTTGGAGAGATTTTTAATAGCCTATGTGGAGTAGGCAAAGGGTGTAAGAGGAGAAGGTCACATCGGAGTGGCTATTGTCAAGAGGGTAAGGCTATCATTCGGGTATGGGATAAGAGACTAAGGGGAGAGAATAGGAAGAGATATCCTATTGATAAGATAGTAC